AAAGAACCATATTAGAACTTCTGATTTCATTTTTTTTATTTTATCAGTAAGTTGTTTTTTTCATTGGAACCAAATTTATAAGATGACCATGACTGTGTCCTCATGGCCATAGGTGTCTAGAAATAAAAACATTTATCCTAATTGCCATCAGCATCATAAACTCTACAAAATGACCAGCCTATAGACATTTATTTCAGCTGCAATGTTTTTGCTCTTTCTTAATAAATGTTCTTTTATTTTTATTTTTTAGGAAAAGCTTGCTTTGTGCTGTCCGAATTAAAACAATAAATAAGTTTACTTTACGGATTTTCTTTACGGGTTTGAAAGTAAGGGAGTCATCAAGCAAAATGCCAGGATATTTATTAAAGAGTTCTGACAAACATGCAGATTAACAGATGAAATTTACAATGTTTATTGAATGAGATCAGTGAACAGTCAGGGAACTCCTGGAACCAGGACTGGACAGCGACCCATCTAAGGAGAAATAGATGGTTAGATGTTGAATCCAGAATCTCTTTAAGAGGAATTACTGGTTGGATGTTTGAGAACCACCATGAAGGAATGGGACGGATTTCATCTGAGACCTGATTCAAATTTCGGGATTTAGAAAGATAGTGTTTTTCCTTTAAGACCACATGCACCTGAATCAAGGAGGAGAGACCAACTGACTTTCTCATTTACAATACTGAAAATACAAAAAAATGCTGACTTGGAGATATGTCAGACACACAACAGGACTCAGCCCAATGCTACTGTTGTAAGGTTTGGTGGAAGTTAGTTGAGGACCCAAATGCAGAGATGAGTTTTGCTGATTTAATGAAGATTCCAAAAAACAACAAAGGCAAAATCCAAGAACTAAAATACAGAAAACCAGAAACCAAGAGATACCAGGGGAAAACACACATCTCTATTTATTCACTGGATTGCTGATAGCCCGTTGGTAGTACAGGGTGGGTTGAAGTCACCAGCTGCCATATTGGTACTCCCTAGTTAGACTGGCCACAATGTAAACAATACGTGCACTACAGCATCTAGCAATGAGGATTTTCTCAGTTTCAGGGGGCTTAAGACTTTTAGAATAAAGATAAATTCATCACTTTGACACACACTTGCTGTTTCATAGCATCAGTAGATTATTTTGTAATTTATGATATAAAATAGGCACATTACATTGCATAGTCAGTATGAAGTCAATGAAGTCTATAAATCATGTAATATAACATATTATAAAAATCCATTACAACAAAATTAATGCGTTAATGGAGCAAATTAACAGTCTAGTCAGATATGAAGAAACACACATACACACACACACACACTGCCTGATGATGTGCCAAAAGTGCTAAATTGATGTACTTGTAAAATACATGTATTGATTACATTGTTATGCTAATTACATTACTTTACAGAAACCTTTAAATAGCAACTGTGTGAAAGTGTCGAGTACCAAGATGGCAGCATATGACTTCAGTTTTTTCTGATCTATCAGCAATACAGTGAATCAGTGGAGAGGATGCAGAAGCCCATTTCTCCTCGTGCACGCTCCGTTTAATAGTTGCTGTTTGCATCACTCATACAAGCTTACTTTCCAAAAGAAGATTTGCAATTTTTCCACGATGTCAGACTCACCACTAGTCATTGAAAATGGGAAAGAGCA